CTCATTCTGAGACAGATGTACATCACCAGCCTGGCAAGGGCCTCACGAGCGGCGGTTTCTCTGCCAGGGCCCAGGTCCTTCCTGGAACACCCGGAGGACCCAGTGGTGAGCAGCTCGCTGCCCAAAGCCAAGGAATGCTCATCCTTCTGGATCACAGAGGAGGGGCAGCTTTGGATGGAGGAGAACTCCTTGACAGCAATCTCCTTCGACCAGTGCCGCCTGGGCCAGCTGGTCAAGAAGGCCACTACGCTGGCCACGGATCTCCCGATCCAGGACTGGGATCAAATGCGGTGCACGCATCAGTCACATGTGGGCACCAACGAGTCCTCGACTCTTAGCAGATACCCTTGGGATATGATGGCAGGCCTGGCCAAAGCCATCGCTGTGTCACTCGCAGCGCCGGGGCACATCCGGATCCCCTCACAATTTCCGGGAAACCCCAAGGAACCACCTAAGGGGCGGGGGTCGGACCCCCCGGAAGGCCATTCCCCCCGGGGAAAACGGGGGCCCAGTCAAGGAGGCGGTCCCTCCTCATCACACCAGGGCTCAAAGCCCGGAGGCAAGAACGCCCCGAAGCCCCGCCTGCACGGGAGCCCTCGTGGAACAATGAACCCAGACTTCCCATCTCCCATGCCCCCGATGGCCGGAGATGCGGAACAACTGGGCAAGGAGGGACAGGGGGACCAGGTCCTGGACCGCCCCGAATGCCTGCCCGCTTTCAGGGTCCCACACCTCACTGACCGGGTGGCGATTGTCCAATTGGGTTTCCGCTCACGCCCCCTGAGGGATGGGGGGGGAAAACCTTTTTTAGGGAGGCTCAACCCCCCTTTTCGGAGAATTTCCCCATTGGCTACTTTGGGCGCCCTGATCATGACCCTTACCCGGCCCTGGATTGACAAGGTCCGAATGTCCCTGGCATCAGGTGCCACCACACACCCCTTCCAGGAAGCCGACCTCGAGGAGCTGCGGGCTATCCTAGGACCGAGGCACCTCCATGAACGATGCCCAGGACAACCCTTCCTCCTGGACTTAGTGTCGCACTTGGCATCCCTTTCAGGTGACCCTGATTGGGAGTTCCCCCTAACACTGAAAGAGGGGGTCCCCTTGGGAGTCTCGGACCCTACCTTGACCTCCCCGGGAGTTTGGCCCACTAAGGAGGAGCTTAAGGGAGAAGCCTGGCTGGGGGAAGATCCCCCCCCGCCAGTGGCTCATGATAACTACCCAACGGCTGAACTCTTTGCCAAGGAAATCGAATCAACCTTTTACGAGGAACGAGCCTTGGACATGGTGGACGGGCCCTTCACTCGCTCCGAGGCGGCAGAGAGGTGCCGCTGCAAACCGGAGGAACTTTGCCCGGGCCCCCTTGCAGGGATTGATGAGTCGGACAAGATCAGGACGATCTATGATGGCTCAAAAGGGGGAGCAAACGCACACATCCAGGCTCACACGGAGGAGAAGACCACCGCACCGATGGTTGGAGACTGCCTCCATGCCATCCACTGGCTCAGGACAGCGGCGGACCATCCTCATCTACTCCGAGCCCCATCCTCGGGCACTGATGAGGAACCTCGGGATGTTCACCAGCCGGTGCAGGGGCAGTCCCCAGGTGCCGAGGGCCCTGAGAGGGACCCCCACAGCACCAGCCTGCCCCCAGGTGCCGAGGGCCCTGATAGGGGCAGGCGGATGATGGAGACCTCCGGCGGCCTGGACGTCTCTCCGCGGTCAACACCCTCAGGGAAGGGGCCACTCCCAGGTGCCGAGGGCCCTGATAGGAGGGCCCCATTCCCCCCAACCCCCCCAGGCACGGAACGCCCTGGGGGGAGCAGGGGGGAACCCCTGACGTGGCAGCCGCCGACACAGGGGGAAACCTTCATCATCCTCAAGGCGGATGTCACCAAGGCCCACAGGCGCATAAAAGTGCTCCAGAAAGACTGGAAATACCAGGTGGCCTGCATCCAGAACCGGTGGTGGGTCAATAGAGTGGGCACGTACGGCATGGCCTCGGCACAACTGTACTGGGGAAGAAAGGCATCCTTGGTGCTCAGACTCTTGTACTACATCTTCCCTCAGGTGGACTGGCACTTAGTTTTTGTGGACGACTACTGCTGGGTCCTCAGATGCAGCAGGGCGGACTGGGACGCCACAGCCATCCTGGCCACTCTTCTGGCGCTGGGAGTCCCGCTTTCTTGGAAGAAGACGGCGCTCTCCCCGGTCAATACCTGGTTGGGATTCGTGGTGGACCCAATCACGCCCTGTGTGCTGCTGGCTCCAGTCAAGCACGTCATAATCCTGGCCACTCTCAAACGGCTGGCCCAGGGGGACATCTTTACCAGCAAGGAGGTGGAACAAGCCCTGGGCCGGATTCAATGGGCTACTTCGGCGTGTCCATTGACGAAACCTTTCCTCCAGCCCTTTTGGAGCTGGAAGAAGGCCTGCACCACTTCGGGCAGGCCACCGAAGCTGGTTCGTGCTCTGGCCATCCTTCTGGGGAAGCTCTTCAACCAGAGGTTCCCACTGGCATCTCCATTTGCTCCCACACTTCCATGGACGGGGGCATCTGATGCGGGAGCTGGCAAACAGGCGGACCATGCATGGGTTGGTGGTTGGTGCTCGGACGTGCCCAACCCCGACAAGTCCCGAGTGAAGTGGTTCCAACACAGAATCACACCGGAGGGCGAGCCGTGGGCCTTCACTACTGGGGACCCGCAGCGGGCGATAGCGGCCTTGGAGCTCTTCGGCCTCCTCCTTTTGGTGAGGGCTGTTCTGCTTTGTGCAGCCGGCTCGGCTTCTCACACTAGGATTCTGGTTGCTAGTGATAACCAGGGAAACGTTTTCTCCCTGCTTAACGATTCCACTCGCAGGATGCCCAATGCGGCCATCCTCATGGAAATTGTGTTAACACTGCATGACCACCAGGTCATGTTAGGACCGTCGCATGTGAAGCGCGACTTTAACACATGGGCGGATGAACTTACTCATCCGGACCCGCAATTTCCGACTGAGAACCGGGTCTTCCCCTCAGTCGAAAGCGAATTGATCAAGCTGATCTTCGCTACTTTCCTTCCTCACCCATGATGCCGGGAGGGCATCCGGTGAGGTGGGAGGATTCCTCCCTCGCTGTGGGAGTGGCATCAATTCTACTCCCATCAGCTGCAGAGGGGAGCTGCCCAGTGGAGCTGGGCAATCCTCCCATTTTGGCACTAATCCTTATGCGGCGTAAAGGATGCACCGTTTCGCGATTAAGGTACCAGTAGCACCAATGTGGTGCTTTGAAGAGTCTTGTTTATCTCTTTCTTTCTTTCTTTCTGTCTTTCTTTCTTTATTTCTTTCTTTCTTTCTTTCTTTCTTTTTTCCTTTGTCTGTCTGTCTGTCTGTCTGTCTGTCTGCTTGCTTGTTTGTTTGTTTGTTTGTTTGTTTGTTTGTTTGAGTGTTGGTTATTGTTGGTGTTCAATCAACGCAAAACAGGCAAACGTGTTGATCGTGCTTTTTTAGACTTCCCTCCCACACAAAATAAACAACGTAGCAATTGTTGCTTATGTTTAACAACACCGTTTTGGTGTTGTGTTTGATCTTCAGACTTGCTCCCGCGCAAATCGCTTTGTTTGCTACTGTGATGGATGCATGAAATTCCCGAACAATGTATGTGGATCACCCAAGCAAGCATTTCTCCACGTTGATTTTGCAGTGTGCGCTTCGGCACAGCCATGATATGCCACGACATTGGACGTGTACCACAACATGTCATTCGGCACCTGGCTGGCGTCATCGGACAAGCCTTTGCGCCGACTCGGCGACTTCTGCTTCAAGGAGTCTTGATGAATCCTTCTCACATGAGCACTGATTTGCCAGTCAATGATTGTTTGGACACCCAGTGGTGCAAGATGCAAGCCACCAGTGACGAGCACATGAGTCGAGCAAGAGGCTTCGACGTGGCATGCAGGTTTTCCTGCGAGCCAAATACACTGACGATCTTCAGAATACAGCCTACTCATCTAGCATTGCAATTGACATAGTGTCTGAGCCCGCTGAACCCGAGCACTACAAACCATCCGATTTGATGGTTGCAGTTTACCAAAACCCAATCCCCCAAAAAGGCACAAGACCATAGGTGTCCCTTTTGGGTTAGCTTGACTATAAATCCATGGCACTAATTTAAGTGGCTTTTATGCCCCAGTACCGGAGAAACCATTTTACTACTTGCCAAAAGTCCATAGGTTATGTTTGCCACTTAGAGCCTCGCACCTACCGAAAACCAAGAAAGACAAGGCTCGCCAGGCCATGTCGGACAAGGGTTGCTTCGCCACAGGCTTTCGAGGCGGTTTCCCTATCATTGTCATGGCCCAGGGATGAATCTTCAGACACCATGTTTTTGGCTAAATTTCACATGTTGACAGTTTTGGGGTTGATGTCTGAATCTTCAGATACCATGTTTGATGTTTGTCACATTTTGACAATTGGAATGTTGTCCGCCGTTACTTTCGGGTGATGCGGGGGTTGTACCTCGACTCTCCACTTACTTCCTGAGTTTTGGACATGAGCGACTTTTGGGTTTGGACCATACTAGTGGCAACACAAACCAGTCCCTACTCTTTTTAGGGCCACTCCACTGGATCGGAAGTGAGAACAGGTGAGTCACAATCAAGGCCGGGGCAATTGGAGGGAAGTAAGGGACAATCCCAGCCATCATTGGGTGCAGATATCCTTCTTGTAAATTCTTTTCTTGGTTCTGGGTGAGCCATTCTTCTTCCGATCGGTTTTGATCATGACTCGGTTCATTAGTAGGGATAGTAGGGCATCCTTGGGTGAAGCGTGGGCAATCATCACACGGGAACCACCCCTCTAGTAATATTACCAGGGGATTCTTTTTCATCATGACTCACCTGCGACTAACACACCCCTCTGGTCAATTGCTGGTTTTTTTTCATCATGGCCCCCCCCTGCGAAGACTCGGCGCACGCCGCGTTTTTTTTTTTTTTTTTGGTTTTTTTCCTCTTCGCCAGGCGAAGCAAGACAACCTCCGGGAGGTGGAGTCCCAGGTGGCAGCGCTGCAGAAGACGCCCGCCCGCGCATTTATTTTCCGGTTCTTTACGGTTCCGTGGGAAGCCGATTAAACAATAGATAAACAAATGTGAGCTTATCATAACGCCCCAAGCATGTGTCGATGTCTTTGTTGTTTTTCTTTTTAAGAAGCTAGCAAACAACAGAGAACCACCTGAAAAGTGGTTGGTGGACGTGAATCCCCCTCTGAATGACCCCAAAGGGTGCGCTATTCAAAATCACACCCACGTAGATCATATTTTCATATACATATATATATATGTATATATATATATATAAATGCCGACATTTGACTCAACCCAATTCAAGATAGATGTGGATCAATCCTGCATACATGGAGTGTTATACCTCTATTTGAACATCGCCCTACAAGCAGACTCACTAACTTGGCCACCAAAAGGTGATGTTGGAAATATAGAGAGAACCCCAGCACCTGAGATTCTTTTTCTTTGCAGAGGTTTCGTCATTCATAGTTACTGGGATCTGATATGGGATGATGTTGCGGTGGCATTTTAAGGTTCACTCAACGTGGCCCAGTGGCGTCCGTGTTCAACTCTTTTGGGAATGCGGCCAAAAAAGGGATGCCCTTTTTCCCCATGGACATCCACTAGGCATCTGAGCTAAACATGGGCCGGAATGCAAGGTTTCTTTTTGTTTGGGGGGAAGCTCAGGTAGGGAAGTGGAATCCTGAGGGGTTCCCGGTGAAGACGTTTCGGGGAAAATCCTCCCGCTCGTTGGCTCATCCGATCAACAAGAGAGCGGGACGTCCGTTTCCAGACCTTTTTGGGGTTTCCTTCTGTTCATTGACATCTGAAAGTGTGCTCCAGTGCTGTGCAATCACTTGGAGCATACTCTTCGTGCTTGTTTTCCGCAGTAATCAATGATCGCCTGCGTTGGTCGATTCGTAATCACAGCCAATGGCATGTGGTGGGCTTCATCAGGCTTCATCCCTTGTTCCTCTCTCCCAGCTCGCTTGACACGGGCAGTAGCTGGGGCAGTAGATATCGTGCCACTTGCCCACGGCTTCCACGCGCGAAGCACTAAGGAAGCTCAGCGACACCGTCAACGAGAAGGAGCGGGGATTCGGCATGGCACCAAACCCGCTGTCTCAGAAGAGAAAGTCGGAGGAATTTCTCGTGACCCCGAAAATGAATGGACTCTCGCGATCGAGCTGTTTTTCTTGCGCCAGGTGGACCTCATGGTGCTTTGGGCTGTTGGCCACTCAAGACATACGTCTCATGTTGATGGATTGCTATCCAGGCATTCTACATACTCGATCTTCAAGGCTGAGGAACCAATCGTGACTGACTTGAATTTTGACCCTGCGAGCTTGCTGCCGGGGGAGTTGCTTCCTAGGATACTCAAGCAAGGAATGCAGCTTCCCGGATTCTACTGGAGCAAGAAGCTTCAGCAGGGTTTTTAGGCGAAGAATTCGCCTTGTCAGTAGGACTTAGACTTGGCTTGGCCAATGATGGCCGTGGTGGCTTGCCGGCCTCTTTGGCCAAGGTCAAAGCACCGCTGGCAGACACCAAAAATGGCACCCTTCAACTGCCCTTTCCCAATACGGCATGAGACAACATTTATTTGATTGCTATAGGGTGGCTTAAGGGTCCAGGCGTGTTCGGATTCCAAAAGAAGGGACCCTTAGCCGTTTGGCTGGCATGGTCCCCTTATATAGTATGCCGCGCCAGAGGTTGCAACTGGCTTGGTCAAAGGTTGACATGGCACTTGTTCGCCCAGCAGGCACAATATGTTTTTGAACTGGTGTGGGTGGGATGGGCAGCCAGGACTGCTCAAGCAGGTCTTTGCGGTTTACCTTCGGCCTGTTTTTAAGTTTGGGTTGGTACCTCTTGCTGCTGCTCGGAATGTGGGAATGAGCCCAGGCTTTGGTCCCCTTAAAGGAAGCCACGAGTTGGATGGGTTTGTTTCGGGGTCATGAACCAATGTCTTATTCCCTGCCGATCTCGCACCAGGACCGCCTGGTGGCGGAGGCTCAGCTCACCAAGGCCGGGCAAACGCTCGGGAAAGGGCAAAAGGAAGCTCCGGCTTTGGCAATCTGGGGCCACTTGGAACGGCACAGATGATTCCGCAGTTCAAACACCCAAAGAAATAACCATGCATATCCGATTTGAGACTCAAATGGGCGCGATTTGCAATTGGGGCCGTTTGGACATGAAGCACATGAGAATGTTCGACCAGACAGTTGAACGGGAATTCGCCAACGTCAATTGACATTCTCATGTCTCCGAGGGGATATGGGCGTGTCTTGTTTGTTGGTATCCTTTTCAAAGGGTCCCCTCTCGTGCGGCCCAAAGATGGTTTGGCTTCCTTTGATTTTCCTCCCAAAACAGATACGAACTCACAAGGACTCACCCAATATGGCAAGGCGCTTATCCATGCACAGGGTGCTCTTTTTCCAAGGCACTCGTCTTCAATCATGTTGAGCACCAACTTTGACTGAGTTTCAAGAAATATATCTTCATGTACAAGAGATGATTTTGCTTGCCTGCGAGCTGCCGGAAAAAATGCAGTGTTTTTTTGGTTTTTGTTGCGGCCTTTGAAATCCGCTCAAATCGCCCATCCTCTTCGCCCGGCAGACCTGAAACGGCCAGAACCCGCGACTGCGGGGCTAACTAGTTGCAACGCATGGCTCCAGAGCGGCCAAGCTGAAGTCGACTGCGAATTTGGGGAGGATCCAAAGCTGCGAGCTGCTTGCTCCAGTTCCTGGAGCGATTGGCTGTCTTTCAGGGATGAGCAAAGAACAGGATGATTTTTCCCACGAGCAAGTGAGCTAGAAACCGCAGGCACTTCAAAATTGGATCAAAATTGGATCACCCTAAAAACTGCAGGGAGATCAACATTGGATCAGCAGTAAAAACCATAGGGAGATCAAATTGCCATTAGATTTGGAGGTTTCCAAGCAAGCAAAAGCCATTGTTGCTATTTGGTAACGGATCTTTGGATTTTGACTTGTTGGTTGAAACTTTGGGATTTTCCGAAAAGTGACACACTTTGTGCAGGGTCGTTGCAGCAACTAATACCTTGTGGAAAGATAATCTTATTGCAAATATTAAGTTTGGGATCCTTTTTGGCATGACAGCCATTTGACAGCCAGGAAGTGACACAACCATTTGACAGGGGGGGTGTTTGTTAGGGGACCCGCATTTGGTTCTCCGACAAACCGAAAAGAAAAATGCTGGGCCCCGACTACTTGTGTCGTGTTTTCTGCAGGATCGCCTGGCGCGTGCGGACATCCTCACTGTGGGGCTGAAGGACGAGGGCGTGCGCTGGCGCGAAGCTGAGAAGCTGAGACGAGGGCACGAGGGAAGCGACGCGGTCATGCGGGCGGTGTGGTGGGGTGGTGACCCTAGGGGATTGATCAAAGGGTCCGATAGGGGATGACCAATACTTGGGAAAACCACCTTTAAACAAGATTTGAGATGTTTCAGCCACATGGGAAGAGTTACCCATGGTCATTGGGCCGAACGGAATATTGATCAACCCCTATGTGTCATCCAGCCTGCTCCTTGTTTTGACGCGAAGCTTTGAACGTTTCCGCCCCCTCACTAGCCGAAGTATATTTATGCTACTTCTGGGAGAGGAGACTTTCCTTGACTGTGCTGAGTGGTTTGCTGTTCTTTCTATACGCTCCCTTTGTATGGAGGGCAACATGTGACTCGTGTTTGGGGCAGAATCCCGGCCTCGTGCCTTGTGCCATGCCTTGACTTGTTTTGGGCATAATTGATTTGTCATCAGTGTCTTTATTGGGGTCTCTGATCCCACACCTACGTTGTATGTTAGGGTGCACTAATGCGGAACCGAGTCCGGACATGGGAACAACCAGAAGTCTGCAATGCCAAGTATCTCTGGTCTTTTTGAAGCAACTTTCTGCAGATTCCATTGGTGTTCCCAGTCATGAAGTAAGTTGTTTTTTGGTGTTGAGTTGGTTTAGTGGTAGTTTCCCCATGTCACCGACGAACGTTTTAGTCGCTTTTCGCAGATCGAACAGCGGACAGCGCAGTCACATTCCCGCAGACCACAAGCAGACCACAAGGCGCGAGACCGTGTCGAGCATCCGCCAAGACATCATCAACCTCACCGGAGACGCCGGGCACCCAGCGAGCGGCTCCGCTCGACACAGCAACCCACGCAAGAAGCGGCCGGTCGCCCCCTCCAACCCCCCCCCCTCCAACCCTTGGCTGAATACTCACATAGTCTTCCACAAACAGGATACCATAATCCACAAAACTCCAGAGGGAAAGTGGAGATTTGCGTGTCTGCGGTTGAATACCTGGCCGAAGTCAAGTTTGTAGACTTCTTTGACCCCAAGCTTGAGTTTGAGCCACCGAACCCAAGCGCCCAGAATCCGTGGCCCTTTTAGTGGTTCTACTAGGTGGTTTCGTGGGGGTTGTTTGGGCTAGACCTTCATGACCATGTAGAGTGGTGGAGCCAAGAGTCCATCAAGTTTTGGGCGCAGCTCAAGGGCCCTTCACGAGGCTTGCTGCAACACTTGGCGATGTTTTGTGCCAGACGCCGGAGAGCCTTTTTGACGGGTTCAAGCACGGCACCTGGACTGAAAAAGCTCCCGACGCCAATATTCTGGAGCCTCAGAATGGAGGATCCAACCCATGGGAGTCCAAGCACTCAGCTCAGGTTGGGCTTCAATGCGGTGAGAGTGTTCTGTGGTTTCTCTTATTCCATCTCTGCCTGACGCGAGCTTGTGACGGAGAAGCCCTCGCACGACACAGATGTGGTAAGAATATGCTTTGCAGATGAAACATGTGCAACATCATATCATCACGGGTGTTTTGCAGAGCCACGAAGGTGATTTTTGTGCCTGCAGCTCAAGGCATGTCAAGCATCTTCCTACTTCAAGACGAACTCACTTGGGTAAAGTGAGCATAGCACGATGAAGGTCCTTTACTTGGGGGTCCCGTATTTCAGGTTCTGGAATGTTTGAAACCTTGCAGCATGTCATTGCTAGGTGGCTCCCAGCCATCTGGTTCCTTAGCTTTTTAGCTTTTAGTTGGTTTAGCGGTTGGGTTTCCATTGAACCCACGAAAAAGTATTAAGCTTTTCGCAGGGGATCTGAGGGCAGCTCAGATGAACTGCCTTTGCCTTTGGAGAGGCTCGGCCTGCGTTTCACATCGAGCGCCCAGGTCTTCTTGTCCGCGGCGTCCATCTCGTACTACGGGTGCGCCAGCCAGCGTTTTTCTGGGGTGGAAGGCTTGAAAGGAGGCAAACCCACCACGCTTCCAATTGCGGAAATGAATATGTTGTTGATATGTTCTCTTCTTGGTTTTAAAGGGAGTCTATCACTACTGGACATATAGTTTATTCTTTTTAGGGAGGCGAAAAAGGAAATGGAAGCTCGAGATCAACCAAAGTTGAGGTCGAATGACGAGGGTTTAACCCAGTTTGTGTGGGTTTGTGCAGTTCTGAGTCTTGAAATTGAAGCTTGGCTCATTCTGGCAATCCACCCCGTGCAACGATAGTTTCAATAGCAGCTGTTTTGGGGGGTCCAACATCACTGCGCTTGTTGTAATAGTCAGAATGCCAAGTTGATGTCAGAGACTGCCACAATGGGAGCTGCCTTTGCAAGTGAATGGGGAAGACCACTCTGTTCTCAGCAATACAGACCAACCTAGTGCAACCTTGATAAAGAAACCCTGTAAGCTGAATCATATACATTGGAAAGTCGATGGTTAACCAACTTGCTGCTGATTAGCCGGCAATTGATTTGGGGTCATAACACATGGGTTTGTGCTTGTTGCTTTCGCAAACGCAAAAGCCACCCCCACCAGCCGCCCGATGCCCCAAGCAAGCCTACACGCATGTGCTCAAAGCTCCGCACGCAAAGAAGACGACTGCTGACCAAGCTCGACAACCCTGTTTTTTTTTTTTTTTTTACCACGTCGCTTCTTCGTATCTCACGACGTTTGAATTACGGGGGTTGTCCTTTGCGTCAGCCCCCTGGTTGAAGAGATTCCAGATCTGTGCATTTGGCTTGTGAACATCCTCGGAGTCCACATAAAGCTCGAGCGACAAGTGGCAAAGAGGAGTTTCCCTGGATGCTTTGATACTCCTGGAACACCCCGAACCCGGGGCATCCATGAACCAATCTGCACTAGTCAATGTGCGTGATAGGACACCACGCAAATCCCACCCATCAGCTGTAAACCTGCAAGATCGACAGGGGCCCTCCGAAATCCGACGTCTCCGCAATCCCCATCTGGGCCACTAGGGTTGGGGCCCCCCCATTCAACTGGGGCACAGCCTCCTGGCATGCTGCAATGAGGCTCGGTCAAAATTACTGATAGTACACAAGGACATTGGGGACTGACTAATTTTCCCCACAAAACCAGCAAACTCAGTTTCCCATGTCCTTGAAGCAAATAAGTCGGAAGGATTCTATACAGTTTGGATCCATTGGGGGTGTGCACCCTTCGACTGGGGTACTTGACACCTGTCCTTGCCTTTTGGCGTGAGGCCATTTACCGGTGTATACCGGAACGAGATCGTGGATGCATGGCTCAAGGAGACCGGCGCAGTTGCCTCGTTTTTCAGTTTTATGTTATTGATGGCCTCAGCAGTTGGGATTTGCAACAACTTCTTTGCCTAGATGCTGCCACGCGTTGTCTCTAAATGTTTGTATTTTTGTTGCATGGGCATTGTCTCACCACCGTTGGCCATGTTTCGGTGGTGACACCTATTTGCGCATGTGGTGTCAGTGTCTTTCTTTGAGTACCCCTTTGTTGGTGGTTTTAAAGGAAAGCAAAAGGAAAGCCCCCCATTTTAGGGGTTCCTTTAAAAAGACACACCCATGTTTCGGCTGGTAACAGCAACTTTGCTCGGCCATAGACAGCCAATGATAACTTGAAGTTTGGGGCGCCACCCCAAATTTGAGCCAATTTGAGCCAAGGCGCGACTCTGTTCAAGCACGGTCAGAACCCAGGGAATTAATTCGAACTAGTCGTGGTTCCGGAAGTTTTGTCTTGCAGCATGCTTTTCCAACTCTCAGGCTCTTGAATTCAATCCTTGGCGGCTCCAAGCCATCCGGTTCCTTTGGTGTTTAGGTGTTTAGGTGTTTTTAGTTGGTTGAGTGGTTGGGTTTCCAAACTCAGCCCACAAGTTCGTCACTTTTAGCAGGGGAACACAACACGGACAGCAAAGGTCAACTGGAAAGCCGATGAAATGTGCCCCCGCAGCATGCAGATTCACCTAAGTGTCAAAACGAGGGTGGTCCCAATAGGCCCTAAACCCAACCCTGAGGATTGTGCACCAACCATGAAACCCTTCGTTTTTGGAGGGGGGTTGAAAGCGATGACACCGGAGCATCGCAGGAGCTGAAGAACCTTCAGATCCCCTCTGGCGAAACTTTTGATTTGCGGGCAGTGGGCGGCCCCAGAGATGTCGGCCGATTTTCGCGTCACACTTGTGATCAAGCATGTTGCATCAGAATGGTGTTCGAACCCGCGGCGTTTGACAAAATTCCTTTGAAACTATTTAGATGCGGGGTTCAAGAAGTTTAACGTCTTGATTGTGTTTCTCGTGACGCACTGTTTTGGTGCCCAGCGACTTGCGAAACTATCGAAATCTTCATGCACGAGTGCCCGGCAATAGTATCGATGGAGAGCGAGGTGAACATCAACGCACGGAGGGTTGCGCATCCAAATGGAGCAAGTGCCAAAGTAGAACAAGCATTGGGGTTTGAAGGGCAACGAGGACAAATGTCCTGTGTTTGAGGAGGATACCATTGTTTGTTGGGTGAAAACGCTTGGTCGGGTTTTGGGCTGGTCATGGACAATTATGAACCTTGAGAAAGAGCTTCGACAGCCATTACTAAGCCCGACACACATTGATATACATGCAGTGCGAATCCTGCACCATTGAACAAATGGATGAATCCGTATGAGTACTGGGATAAACAGCCCAGGACCTATAAAAAGCTGCCACGCGGATGTTGTCCATCAGTGAGTTTTGAACATAGCAAGGGGGGCCCCTCCAGTTCCTCAGGAGAGACTCATATCCCGAGGTCATGGGAAACCCGGTGGAGATCCGGGAGTGGAATCTTCAGGGCTTGCCGGCAGATGCCAGGAGCTTACCTCATCTCATGTGGCAAGGAAGTTTCACTCCCACAAACATAGCACGTCAACAAAAGGAGGCACCTGCAAGATCAGTTTTCTTAGGGGACCCCCTGTCAAGTGCCACGAAACTGGGACGGTACACTCCCAACCCAAGTGGTTGGTGGACATGAATCCCAACCTAAATGATGTCCACCAGAGGGTCCCCAGGTAAAATTCACTCATTTTTCAAGGGAAACCAAGAGTGGGCACCAGATCCCATTGTGGGGGATCCCTGTTTTGAGACAAACCTCTATGCCATGCCTAGCATAGGAGCTCTTCCCAGTGTGCCAAAGTCTAATTGAAGAGTTCAAGTTCAACAAATCTCCTGGCCTCATCCAACTATCGAAACATAGATTGAGAAGGGGATTGGGGTTGAACCATTCACTGAAGACAATCGCCTCTAGCTTAGCAAAGGCAGCCCTGCTGGCACTGCTGGCTGCCTTTGCTGCTTTCACCCTCCCCGCCCTGAATCCCCCACAAAATGACCGTCTCAAGAAACTTATGGAGAAGAGCACGGTTCAGAGCTGCAACAGTTGCCTCTTTCCCCTTTCCTTTCTGAATGCCTGCACTGTGCCTAGCGCGTGCTTTGCGAGCGTTTGGCGAGTTCTTAGTGAGCGCTTGGCAAGCGACTAGGAAGCCTTTGGGCAGGAGCATTCTTCGCGCTCGGCGCGCAAGCAAAACTAGGAGTCGCGAGCAGCGAGTAAGCACTGCGAATCACGTGGTTGCTAAGTGCCTGCTAGTTGCTCGGCACTCGTCAAGCGCTCGGGGAGAGGGGGCACGGGGAATCCAGGATTTGCCTGAGATCCATCTACACATGACACATGTTGCTTAGATACCTTGGCAGTTTGGCCCATTCCTCGACCACTTCTGAGAAGAGTCAGCCATGTTACGAGATGCCGTTCAAAAAGCTGGATGGCTTTGATTGAGATGGGGCGGCAACATGCTTGGCTGCAGTTCATACCTGCAAACTGCCACATGTAGTGTCTGGCTTGAATGCAGGGTCCCCACGTGACAAAGGAGTTGCTTTTGGCACTCGCAATCCTGGAGTCATTTCTGCGTTTCTTTTTTGAGAGAGCATGCGGCATGGATCCATTTCGCTCACTCCCGCTCCGCACATTGGCGCCTTGAGGCGGTGTCCATCAACAACGGGGTCATGGTGATGCGCGGCAAGCGCTGGCCCTTGATGATCGACCCCCAGTCCCAGGCTCCGAATGCGAAGTAGCTGCGGGTTGGACCCCCAAACTGGCTTCGGTTGTCCTTTTGGTTTCGCTTTAAAATCGTAAACGGGACCCTTGAAGAAAGACAAACCCAAATTAATTGGGGATGGATAGGAGAAGCAGGGGCACAAGATGGAGCAGGTGGACATAGTGGAACTTTGTGATGTGTCGCATATGGTTGGTTCAGTTGCAATAGCGAATCCACTAGGTCGCTCCTGAGAGCGGCTCCCCTCCACCGCAATCTTACTCTGGGAGAACAAAAAGAGCCTCCTATTTGATCGCCTTGCGGGCATGCTGGTGCGACACATCGCTGCAACTTGAGGACTTGATCAGCCTTGATCACTTTCGAGTCCTTGTTGGCGGAGATCGTTGCATTATGACTCCATGGGAAACTTCAACAGGAACCCCCTTTGCACTCGGATCCGAAAAAAGTTGTACGAACCACTGCAGAGCCTATTTGGGCAGCAACCAGAAATTCTAAATGAAGGGTGCAGAACAAGTTGAACATCGATATTTCAGGGTTTGGCTCTGTTATTGTGGACAAAGCCGCTGCGCCATCCGCTGCATTGGTCCCGGCGTAGTTTTAAAAGTTTTAGTCGGGTGCAGAGACTTTGCGTAGGCTTCTTTCATGGCTGCGGGGTTTTGTTGAGATGTTGTAGAGATGCTGGATTTGAGCCTTGGCAGCTCAGCAAGCAGAGGCAATTGGAAGTCTAGTTCTTTCGTAGGTCATAGTTTTGCAGGGTCGCTTAGCAGCAACGACTTCACATTGGCTGAGGAACCAGTCTCAGTCTTGCTTTCCTCCCCCTTTAGATTTTGAGAGTCATGGGCAAAATTATCTTAGCCCTGCGTAGGCTCCGAATGTGGCGGCGATGCCCAGACTAATTTCAAATCCCCGAACAGAAACAGGTGCTCAAATGGGTGTGTCTCTAAGATAAGGGCCGCTTCAGGTGGTTTGGTGTTCTGTTGGTTTCCTCGTGAATCCCAAGAAGGAAAAGAAAAGCCAAGTTTAAGAATCACCCGATCAATCGGCTCAGCTGCCACTCTGTGCGAAGCCAGGGAAACAAGTGGATCAAGAAGAAGGAGGGCAAGGAGACTGAGGGAAAGTGAACCATGTGGCGATTCTTTGCAAGGCATGTCGTCACTCGTGGCAATGTTCTGGAGCCTAGGGGCCAGAAGCGAAAGATTCATTCGTGTTCCTTCTGCGCGCCAAAGGTGCGGTTGCTGGGTAAACACAATTCATAGTTGCAAGGCTCAATTGTAGAAAAGGCCAACAATCACCAGCATCATATTTGTTAGGCGTGTCCACTCAATTCAGGATGGGAAGCAAACAGTCTGACGAACGGGACCACCTGAGCCGAAGCCCATATGTGCATAGAAGCAGCCACTCTTGTGACTCCCTTGTTTTGAGTAGCTTTCTCAGATACTCGTTTTGGTTACGCTTCAGGATTTTGGTGGGTACACGACGGCTTGATCTTGCTTGTTAGCAGCAACTTGACCAAGCGTGCCGGGACTAGCAGTACATGAGCCGGCTAATTCACTGCTCTCCTACATTTCTCTGACGATGTCTGGGTTCCCACCAGTATACGTATATATTATAACTACCAAAGACCCAAGCCCGTCAACACGCACCCCAGCACCGCCACACCCAGGACACGCCAACCCGCAACCAGCCTGAAGCCACACTACCACCACCATTTGTGTCCTGTTTCTCGGTTGGTTTGGCTGAAAATAAATGAGTTGCCCTGGTTTCAGTTTGGTTCTAGTCAACCAGCGCCATCTGGTTTTCCAAAAAGGACACGTATGGCTCACCACAGGACCCATCTCAACCGATAGGAATGAAATCCCCAACACAGGTTGCGAACATGTCAGCTGAAGAAGAAAACAAAATCTGGTCAAACCAAATAGGCTTGCCCACTCGCGTCCAGGAGCTGAAGACCTTGAAGATGACCAACCCAAAGATGCTTCTGATCTTAGAAGGCTCTCGCCGCGTGCCCCGTCACATGCGCTGTTGCTGGTTTCGGTTGGCTGGAGGCTGGAGGCACGCGAGAAGAGAAAGTAACCAAAGCTGCAGTTGGGAATGAGAGTGAGGATGACGCTTACGCCAGTTGCAGAAGTGTTTTTTTGTTTGAATGCAAATCCACACTGATTGTTCGAATCTTAGAGCTGTGGAAGCACGCTTTGGCTCCATGCAGACACTTGCCAAGATGAACGCCTTATGCAAAGAGGTGAGTTCTAACAGATGAACCCACCGACGAATCCACAAACGGTATTCTCCAAGTGTGATGCCGTTTTTCCGGACCAGCTCACACCCTTGTTTCCGGGATGGTGCTTGCGATCAGATCCATGGGCACCAAAGGGACCTTTTTGCTAGGCAAAAGCGATTGGGCTTTTGCAACGCGGCCACGGTGAGACCAAGAAAAACTTGCGGCCGTTGGACCACTAAATTGCCAAGTGCGGTGGCATTTGAAATCTGTGCCCGCAGCTGATTTGCATAGCGGAATAGCAGAACTGGGACCTTTGGTGGCATCAGCTTGCATTGATGAAGGTTCACTAGATACCCAAAACGTTAATTTTAGTTGGCCAAAGCTGCCACACTGGGCACGTTCTTGACTTGGCCTGGATCGCAAAGGAACTGGATGCTCAAAATGGACACACACACAAACAAAAAATAAAACATGCCTTGAAGAGCAAACTTTCCGCAGATAGGTTGCCCATGGTACAGGTCGAGTTTGTCGCCAGGTTGCATTCGCACAGGGGCTCCCATGCTTATGGAGGACTGGGCGCGCTGTTCACCCGGGTCCTTGGGATCCTTTGGAGTGAGGCCAAGAATCCATGCTATGTCACAAGGTGCTTCGACCATGGATAGTTCTGGGGTTAGCACATTTTGACCGTTTCTAGGGGTTAAAGTCAGAAAATGGGGTTGTTTCCCTTTAACCCATCACTTATGGGGTGACTTTGATCATGGTAAAATAACGAGGCCAGTAGTTTCGAGCGAAATCAAGGTTCTTTGTGAATTGACAAGTGCGGTGGAGGAGAAGCTTCTCCACGAACTAATTTGCCTGGGTGCTAAGACACATGGCAGTTTCTCGGCACACAGCAAAATTGGCCATGATTCAAAACTGGTGACTCTCCAAATGTCTTTTTCCTGTTGTTTGTTTAGAGGGTACCCTTTTGAGGTTGGTTTGCAGGGAAACCAAAAGGGACACGTGGGGTCCCTGATGTTTGACACACACCCAAAGGGCATTTGTTTGTTTGGCCATTTAGAATGGACCGGACGGGATCCCTTTAAAGGTGTTGTCCCATCGCCAGGATGTCGAAGAGACCCTGGACCCAGCCCTGGAGCCAGTCTTACTCAAGGCACAAGGGCTGGGAAGATATGGGGTCGACTGAGACGCTTCTTTTTTATTAGTGTTATTATTTATGGTTGCCTCCATATGAAACAACATTTGAGCATGATATGGTTGATGTACCCAAGTATGTATGATTTTCACCTTCTTCCTTCGTAGCCAAGATTGTGTCAGGGGGTGCAAAGAGCAGTTTCCCTTCAACATAGAGCCCCAACACGAACGGCACCACAAGAAACAATCACGCAATGTTCGCTACAATTTGGCCATGCCAAAAAGGATATGCAACTGATTTTGAAGGCAGGCAGGAATAAAGAGGGCAACTGGGCAGGGCATTTTGCCAGCCGTTGTCAAGGCATATGTTGAGGTTGGCCTCAGTCCGAGTGACTTGACAGACCCAAAGCCCGTGCTGGCCCCTGTTTCCCAATTTTCCTACGGAGAAAGCTTCCCTTTAGAGCCTTCCACAACAATGTTTTTTTTGTGTCACGCAGCCACTGATATTCTGGCACAAAACCCCAATGGGCAAAAGCCACCTTGAACCAGTTCGGCCAAATTGGAGCCGTTCCTGATTTTGGCACGTTCCCGCATCAGCGCAGGCCGTGTACGAAGACAACAACCGCTTGCAGATCAAGTTGGGCGACAGCGAGGCCGCAATTGGCTTCGATTGGCACACGATGACCATTACCCAAACGGCTTTGGCCATGACACAACAGTGCTCATGTGCGAGTCAATCCGGGGACCAAATATGGTGGCCGGCGTCTCGTGTGGTTTCCTCTGCAACAGACATCCTAAAAGCAGGCGTCAAAATTCCACAAGACGGCGTTGAATCAACCAACAGAATGTGGGCTCGGACTCTTTTTTGTGCGTGTTTCAGCCTCGTCTCAAACTCGACATCAGAAACCGCCAGCTGGTGGCAGTTAACTTGAAGGACTTTCTTCTCCTGGGTGCAGTTGCGAGCCCTTCCCTCCTTGCAGAACTGCTTTGCGCACAGTATGGTTGACGGAGCAAATTGCATCTCTGTTCCTCTCTCTTTCATTTTTGAATCTTTATTGTTCTATCTCTCTATCTCTGTATGTCTCTATTTGTCAATTTCTCTATTTGTCTATCTCTTTAACTCTCTACTTTAGAGCCTCCGGCTCAGTCCGCCGACATTGTCCTCTCCCTTTTCTCCTTCTTCCTCTCTTCCTTTGTGTGTTCTGTCGTCCTCTCTCCCTCCCTCTGCTCCCATCCTCCCCATCCCCCCAAGCCTCTCTCTCCCCACTCTCCCTCTCTCGTATGTATGCATGCATGTATGTATGTATGTATATGTATGTATGTATGTATGTATGTATGTATGTATGTATGTATGTATGTATGTATGTATGTATGTAATGTATGTATGTATGTATGTATGTATGTATGTAATGTATGTATGTATGTATGTATGTATGTATGTATGTATGTATGTATGTATGTATGTATGTATGTATGTATGTATGTATGTATGTATGTATGTATGTATGTATGTATGTATGTATGTATGTATGTATGTATGTATGTATGTATGTATGTATGTATGTATGTATGTATGTATGTATGTATGTATGTATGTATGTATGTATGTATGTATGTATGTATGTATGTATGTATGTATGTATGTATGTATGTATGTATGTATGTATGTATGTATGTATGTATGTATGTATGTATGTATGTATGTATGTATGTATGTATGTGTATGTATGTATGTATGTATGTATGTATGTATGTATGTATGTATGTATGTATGTATGTATGTATGTATGTATGTATGTATGTATGTATGTATGTATGTATGTATGTATGTATGTATGTATGTATGTATGTATGTATGTATGTATGTATGTATGTATGTATGTATGTATGTATGTATGTATGTATGTATGTATGTATGTATGTATGTATGTATGTATGTATGTATGTATGTATGTATGTATGTATGTATGTATGTATGTATGTATGTATGTATGTATGTATGTATGTATGTATGTATGTATGTATGTATGTATGTATGTATGTATGTATGTATGTATGTATGTATGTATGTATGTATGTATGTATGTATGTATGTATGTATGTATGTATGTATGTATGTATGTATGTATGTATGTATGTATGTATGTATGTATGTATGTATGTATGTATGTATGTATGTATGTATGTATGTATGTATGTATGTATGTATGTATGTATGTATGTATGTATGTATGTATGTATGTATGTATGTATGTATGTATGTATGTATGTATGTATGTATGTATGTATGTATGTATGTATGTATGTATGTATGTATGTATGTATGTATGTATGTATGTATGTATGTATGTATGTATGTATGTATGTATGTATGTATGTATGTATGTATGTATGTATGTATGTATGTATGTATGTATGTATGTATGTATGTATGTATGTATGTATGTATGTATGTATGTATGTATGTATGTATGTATGTATGTATGTATGTATGTATGTATGTATGTATGTATGTATGTATGTATGTATGTATGTATGTATGTATGTATGTATGTATGTATGTATGTATGTATGTATGTATGTATGTATGTATGTATGTATGTATGTATGTATGTATGTATGTATGTATGTATGTATGTATGTATGTATGTATGTATGTATGTATGTATGTATGTATGTATGTATGTATGTATGTATGTATGTATGTATGTATGTATGTATGTATGTATGTATGTATGTATGTATGTATGTATGTATGTATGTATGTATGTATGTATGTATGTATGTATGTATGTATGTATGTATGTATGTATGTATGTATGTATGTATGTATGTATGTATGTATGTATGTATGTATGTATGTATGTATGTATGTATGTATGTATGTATGTATGTATGTATGTATGTATGTATGTATGTATGTATGTATGTATGTATGTATGTATGTATGTATGTATGTAATGTATGTATGTATGTATGTATGTATGTATGTATGTATGTATGTATGTATGTATGTATGTATGTATGTATGTATGTATGTATGTATGTATGTATGTATGTATGTATGTATGTATGTAATGTATGTATGTATGTATGTATGTATGTATGTATGTATGTATGTATGTATGTATGTATGTATGTATGTATGTATGTGTATGTATGCATGTATGTATGTATGTGTATGTGTATGTATGTATGTATGTATGTATGTATGTATGTATGTATGTATGTATGTATGTATGTATGTATGTATGTATGTATGTATGTATGTATGTATGTATGTATGTATGTATGTATGTATGTATGTATGTATGTATGTATGTATGTATGTATGTATGTATGTATGTATGTATGTATGTATGTATGTATGTATGTATGTATGTATGTATGTATGTATGTATGTATGTATGTATGTATGTATGTATGTAATGTATGTATGTATGTATGTATGTATGTATGTATGTATGTATGTATGTATGTGTGTGTATGTATGTATGTATGTATGTATGTATGTATGTATGTATGTATGTATGTATGTATGTATGTATGTATGTATGTATGTATGTATGTATGTGTATGTAAGTAAGTAAGTAAGTAAGTAAGTAAGTAAGTAAGTAAGTAAGTAAGTAAGTAAGTAAGTAAGTAAGTAAGTAAGTAAGTAAGTAAGTAAGTAAGTAATGTAATGCATGTAATGTATGTACGTATGTATGTATGTGTGCATGCATGCATGCATGCATGCATGCTTACATACATGTATGCATGTATGTATGTATGTAATGTATGTATGTATGTAATGTCATGTAATGTCATGTAATGTAATGTAATGTAATGTACTGTAATGTATGTATGTATGTATGTATGTATCCTTGCACTTCCCCTTTGCTCCCCAGTATTTCCCGCAAAAAAAACACGGTTTTTCCAGCGTTTTCGCAAAGAGGACGTCCAAAAACATTGAGTTTTTCCAGATTTTCGGCAAAAGGATGCAGGAAGCCCAAGCCAGCAAAAAAGCCGGCAGGGGGAATCGAGCCTGGGACCCCTGTTTTGCGACACCGGCTCCCCGAAGACTACGTTTAGTGGAACGTCATCAAATTGCCGCGCGGTACGTGGGGGACCCCCCCCCCCCCAAAAAACCTACGTAATAGACGTCGGGCGGGGGGGGGTTAGGGGGGGGGTTATCCTCTATCCTCTAGTAAGTATCCGACACGCCGAGCAATGTCGGCGGATTTATCTTCTTACAGTATCTATTGTCTATCTCTTTCTCTCTCTCTCTCTCTCTCTCTCTCTCTCTTTCTTTCTCTTGGGTTTGAAGATACCTTGTCAATGTCAAATGCGTGTCTTGAGAATCCAGATATGTGGAACATGTATCCCTTGCGCAGTTCGAACATGAGCTGAGAAAAGGACAGTCCGGTTTTCAGAGATGGATGTGGCTGCCCTTTTCATTTACACGTGTTTGGGTAGACTCGTCAATACCAGCTGATTGTGATGCACTGGCTGATGACCAGATGGGTGACGGTTTGAAGCAGCCCTACCGACCAATTGGAGAAGCTGAGCTGGCATAAGATATAAGGTATGTCATGGTCAAAGCAGGATGCCCATTCATCCAGAGTTTCACACATCCCTGGCAAAAAGCAATCCTGGAGGAGAAACAGCGACCCTCAAGCGGAGGAGACTCAGCTTGGGACCCTCCTGCCTCTTTGGATCTTTGACCTTTCATCCTTGAACTCCCCTCAGCAAACTTTCAGACCAATTGGGAGCTTCTCTTCTGCCAGGGAAAGCTTAGTTGGGTGTTTGTGTTTTTGGAGGGTGCCCTTGTTTGTGTGGGTTAAAGGGAAGCCCAGGGGCAAGTCACCATTCAGGTAGGGTTCCCTACTTCCCGTTATTCTGAAAAATCGTCCCGGTTCCCCGGTTCGAGACTTGTCAGAGGTGGACTATGACAAGAACTTCTTGTTCTACATGACCACCAAGATGCCCAACCCCCACTACTTCCCGGAGGTCTGCATCAAGGCTGGAGCGGGGGGAAGTTGGTTCGGATCCACCCCGGCCTCTGGGCTCCTCAGTAGGGGGCAAAAAACTTTGCCCAGTGGATCTCAGTACAGACTATAGTAGGTAGCCAGCCGTTTTCCTTTTTGGGCTTTCGAAGTGCGTTTTTCTATATAGGGAAAAAGGAATTGCGGGGTTGGGGAAACAGGGGGACGGAGAGGGTTGCGGAAAGTGGGGGTTGGAATACCTCGTCAAGTTTGAATGAGGGGCTGCGGCTTTACTCATGTACATCCCGCTTCGCCGAAATCGTGCAGGAACTTGTGCAAGTGGTTTGAATCAACGCTATCAATATTGGGTACCGGCGGAAACGTTGTGTTTGTCCTCGACTTGTGTTCTCATGGGTGCCATGCGTTTTCATGACAGTCTTAGTTCATTTCAGAGGGCTGGAAACAGCAAGCATGCTTTCCTAAGTGCGCAGTTCCGCAGCGTATCGATTCAACCTGACACAATTTGCGGCCCGTGTTTGGACCATTAAAGTGAAGAACCGACTCGATTTCCCGAACAAAACCTTGGATTCGAGCTGAGTTCTGAATGTAGACAGATGGAAGGAGTTGTTTGCCCCGCACTGTGCGGTCAGGTGGCGAAGACAGCTGCACTGCATGTGTACATCTTGGAAAATTTGAACCTGATACCTGGGAGAAAAGTCGAACTATCAGTGCCATAGCTTGCAGCGTTTGTGTTGTGGAAGGTCAGGAGTACTCCGTTGAGTTTGTTCATTTAAGGTCCTCACAAATGGCTAGTGGGCGAAAATCAAGGTTTCCCATTTGGGATATGTTCGAATTATTGGTGGTTTTCGGCTTCCCCAAAAAAGCAGCCCGCACGAGGGAGGCTTCTCTCATCTCCTTTGAAGAGCCTAGACGCAACAACCAACACCAGTTGACGGAAAGACACCGGGTCATCTCGTTTTACAAATGTTGACCCAGGATTAATAAACCCGTCCCATTATATATTAGGGGGGTGTTCCCTCCAAATGTGACGAGTCCTCACTAAAAGGGGACACCCCCTATTTATCAACCAGTTTATTAATCCGGGTTAACATTAGCATCAGTGGTCTTTGAGGTGACTGTCATCAACTTCACCGTCACCTTCGAAGGCTTGGAAGAGCAGCTGCTGAATGAGGCGGGCCCTGGGGTGAGCTGGTTTCCGGCATGCGAACGCCCTGCTTGCAATTCAAATGCCATTTCATGAATTTGGACAACGAAGGCTCTTGACCTTTTTTTTATATGAGGGTTTTTGGAGGAAGACGCAATTGAAACCTTCCAGTCATCCAGCAAAACTACTGTTGAACTCTGTGTTTGAGCTTCACTCATTTTTTAGCATCGTTTTCCCTCCTGGTCGTGACCTCTTTGTTTTTGAAAGGAAGCATGAACCATTCACGAGCCGGAAGCTATCATACAAACGTTAAATTTGAGTTGCATGGGGTGGTGCCACGAGTTCCGTCTCTGCAGCATGTTAGACTTAGCATATCTTAGCGTACGTATATTATATACGTGTATTTTACTTTTCGTTTTGGTGGCTTTGACACCGATGATGTTTCGGCTACCCCAGAGGTTCGCTGATCAAATGTTGTGGCAGGCTGGATTGAGCTGCGACAGCTCCAGTTGCACCGACTGCGTGTCTCAACTAGTACATCTAGGCGATGCTCAGGAATGGAGTAGCACGATTTCCTACAAGCCATATTCCGGCATGATCAACTGCTATAGTATTTTTTGGGGGTTGTTCAGCTTGCATCTGGGCATATTTGGGCATAGCTTCTTTGGATGTCGCTGCTCGGATCAGCTTGATCCGCTCGTGATGGCTGCGATGAAGCCCCCGACAGAATGATCAGCGAAGATGGCTTTCCACATTGTGTAGATCATGTTGGTACACACATCTCGCGTTGGTTCGACGGTGTGATTCACATAGCGGGTAATTTTCAGCGCGTGTAAGTTCCGCATGCCCAAGCCTAATTGTCAAATTTGCTCTCCGCATTGTTCAGCGTCGCCCAATGGTTGCCAGCTCTTTGTTCCAGTGATGTTGTGCTTGTTCCTTCGCAAGCAATCTACCTTTCTCGCGAACAAAAAGGCGACACAGTGATCTGCTGGTTGATTCCCCATTCTTCCAACCATGATGATTTTTAAAAGCGCCCGTTTTCCCCAATGACTTTCTTTTGTATCGAATGGACTGCCTCTAATTAGGTGACTCTGACTCTTACCCAAACGCCCGCAGCCATGTTCAAGCTACTTAGGTAGCCATAAGTCAACCAAGCCCTGTCCCACTTGGAACCACAGCATACCCGGCGTCCCACTTGACACCTACCTGACGTCGCAGGTGGTCAGCAAGGAGATCCCCGAGACGCTGCAGCGCCGGGTCTGGGGACCTGATTCGACCAAAGTGAGTTGGTGCAACAAAAAGGGGAGCGCTGGGGCAAGCCGCAGGGTTTTGGTTTTTTGGTTGTCTTTTCCGGAAAGCACCATGCCAAGGGTTGGAAGGATTCAATCCACTTGAAGGGAGATTGCGTGTTCGTCTGGTCCCAGTGTAACCCATCCGTTTGCGCTAGCCCATGTTTTGAGAATCACTGATACGAACATGGGGGTGTCGCGGGGTAATCTAGACTTGGGGCAAAAGGAGAACCAACCATTGCTGCCGTGGCCCTCATGTCAGGCCATATTTGCCGACTCAGTCAATCTTTGATAAGTTTGAGTTCCGTAACAAAACCACCTGGGGCTCCTCAAAATCAGACGCCTTGTCCTCCATCTTCGTGTAAAGGTGGATCCTTTTGAGTTCCCTTTAACACCACCACCCCCCGTGTTTTTGCATGGGGATCCTCCAAATCAGAGACATCCGCTCCCAGTTTTTGCGAGGTGGAGCTGATGTTGCAGCTGGCGGACGACAAGAAGGTGCTGAAGCAGCTGGAGGACAAGATCTTGAAGCTGCTCTCCGAGTCCAGCGGCCCCTAGGCGCAAAGCCAATGTCTTCCCTTGCGACCTGTGCTGGTGCGAGAGAGGCAGGGAATGTACGAAATGACTCCCGATTTTATTTTTATTTTATTTTTAAAACAAACATCCAACTAGTGGTTTCCTTTAAGGGGGCCAAAGACTGGGTGCATTCCCACGTGCCCTACTGAGCACCAGCCTTTTTTTTCTCGACCTTTTTTTGCAGATTCCATAGGCAGGGAATGAGTTGAAATGACCCCGGAAGAAAGGAGAACAAACAACGATGTGGTGTCCTTTATTCGGGATTTCGTTCCCCACATCCAGTCTCGGTCTTTTCCTAATGGGCACCGGCAAGCTTTCCGCGGCATGCAGTTTAAATGGGGTCATCATGATTTGTTGCGACCGCTATGCTGGAAGCGTTTTTTTTTTTTTTTTTTTTTTTTTCTGATTTAGAAGTTGAATGGAAGTAATTGAATGTCGTTTGTTTGCACTTCAGCCACCATGTTGTTGGAATTGAGGCTTCTACGATGATTGTGAGCCATCAATTGACTTTCAGTTGGCTCTATCTTCCAATTGCGATGCCCCTTATGTGGGTCGTGGCTTTGAATTGCAAACAGGTTCCTACGGCTTTGGAATGCGTGTGTGTGTGTGTGTTTGGATGAGTAACGCTAAGCTACAAATTTGGATTAAATGCTTGGCTGAATTTATGTCAGTGTCTTGTAGATGTTTTACTGATGCTAGCAGCTGTTAGATGTGATCCAAAGACGAGCAAACATGTGCAATGTTGAGCAGTTGTTTTTGTTGTTTTTTCCATTTTTCCCGAACTTGGTTGCAAGAAAGCACTGATGAGACGACTTTGAGCTGCGCTTACGATAGCGATCCGTGTACGATGTTGAGTCAGAAATGTATATTCTGATCTTTTGTGTTTGTTTGCCTGCGCAAAGCCCTGCATCAACCCGCATGTATTGTAAGTTGCGTTGATAGGCTTTGCCCGCAGCAAAAGGGGGAAGTAATGCTTGGCTTTCCCTCTACCGATGCCCGAGCACGTAAGGGGCTCTTCCCCCAGAGCAGACCTTATTGAGGTCTTGCTATACCTGTTGGTTATATGTGATTTGTTTGTGATGGTGCATCGCTGTCCAAGCTTCTCAATTTTAATTGGTTGGGTGCTCCATGCTGGAAGAACGCGTAAGAAGGAGACACCTTCTTCTCATTGATCCATGGGATGCAAACGCTGTCCTTCAGCCAAGGCAACATCTTGGATGATCAGGCCAGTGTTGCAAGCGAAACTGTTCGCCTCCGTGTGTTTGTGTTTGTGTGCGCATAAATGCTTGTTGATAGAGGCCGAATTCTTGCTTCCCGCAAATGCGGTTGTCAGCATTGGCTCCTAGATGTGAGTTTTATTGTTGAGCACAGCTTTGGGATTGGTCACCAAATAGTAACAAGCATTGCTGGGTTGGACACTGTTAGGGTACATGTTCACTCACTGACATCTAGCTTGTCCTCGTTTTCTTGATGTCCGACCGGTTCCCCTCAAGCATAAGTTCAAATCGCATAACAGACTGCACACGTTTCGCTTTGCGCGGCTAAGAATTGAGATTTCCTCGAGGCCTAGTTGGGAAACCGAACGACGTGTTTGACGTAGGCTGACGGCCTTTGGACATGAACCGTTGGCAGAGTAACGCCCTCACGTTGGGGTTTGAAGGCAACACGAAACGACACCTAATGGCAACCCAAGATTAATCAACCCCGGTATGTCAATAGGGGGCCTGATTTTAGTGAAAATTCATCACATGTGGAGGCAATTTGGAGAGGAACATACCCATAATACTAAACATGGGTTCCCATTGTGTATAGAGTTCCCAGGGGGTGGGGCGACTTAGTTTTTCTAGCTTAGTATATGATTTGACATTTCTTCAAGTCGCCAAATGGCTATTGACATGTTTTCTCCTGCAAGATGTTCATGCAATCTAGCTCTTTTGCAGAAGTACCTAGCCAGCTGGCCAGGGCTGCAGATCCTTCTGCTTGGAACCAAACATGCACATTCATAGACACAAGTTGTTTTAACTATGTGTTTCTATTTTCTAGCGAGAGACATGGTGTGTGACGGCTCTGTGCCCCAGCGAACGCATTGGCATACATACTTTCTGTAAGCAGCTGGGGAATCTTGCTTAGATATGCCTCCGCAGCAACTGGTTTACTCCTATCTTTTGAAGATGACTATCTTTGTCCTGGCATGTGTTTCTGGTTGTTCGATGCGCATTTTTTCTACACAAATGACCACCCATCCAGGAGAACGTTAATGATTTGGTTTTGGTAGTCCATTCACCACCAACCCCAAAGCTGCCGCTGGGACGTTATTGAATCTTCAGCCAGGTGCTGTGGTTCCTTGCTCAAGTCAAAGCCAGTTTTTGTCCAGGATTGCATGTCCTGTGAACTGGCCTTTCACTTCAGGAATGATCTGATCAAGCCTGGATGATGACCACCTATATAGCCCCAGTTGGTCTCTCCGTGGCCGCTCATAGCTTTGACAAACTTTGACCTCAAATTGTACTTGACGAAGTGCTGTATGTCTTGGGTGACTTGCAGACTGTCCAACAGGCTTGCCGCAAGAAGATGCGGCGTGATTGCGCGTTGTAGTGCCACAGAGAATGACTATAAGAGTTCCAGGGACGAATGCTAGATAGTCTGAAAGAACTCCTATTGATCAAGATCACTGATGATATCTTATGATGCTGAGACCATGTTCCCATTTCTGCGTCTTTGACACGGATTCCCTTGGAAGCGCTCATATTCAGCTTGGGCTTCAGGCGAAACAATTTGGTGAACTTGTGTGTGTTGGCCGTACAATTTCAACTCAATCCCATTTGTCCTCGCACACCTGGAACAGATACATCCTGTTGTTTGGTGAAGTATCTAGCACAAACATGCACATATGTTTCACCCTTTTTGGCGTCGGGGGCTTCAAAGTAGGGCTCCTCGAAACTAGTCAGTTCCCTTGAAATGTTCCTTTAACACCCGGCAGTCTGGTCAGACTCCCTTATTTGAGGGTTGATCAATATTCCTGGCCCAACTGACCATGGGCAACGTTTCCCATGTCGAAAAAACTCATCTCACATTTTTTTCTCGTGGTTTTCCAACCACCCACTGGTCATCCCAACCGCTTTTTTAAAGGACCCAATTCTTTCGATCCACCATCCCCCCATTCGCCTTCCCCGTGCCCCGAGGGCATCGAGCCTAGTTTCCCCAGCTAGGTGCCCTTTTCCCGTTTCCTTGTCGGGGGCAGGGTTCCTCCACTAAGGTAAACCACAGAAAAAACAGGGGTACCAACTTCTTCTAACCTCTTCACTGAAAAACCGGATGCGCGGAGTCGCCAGGTGCTCATCAGCACCCTGGGGGAGTCCAAGGAGACCTCCACGGCGGTGAACCAGCGGGTGAAGGCGGCGGAAGAGGCCGCCGTGGAGCCGGGAGCCACACGCGCCCAGGGCGAGAGAGAGAGCCGGGAGAGCCGGCAGGGAGGGGACTTTTCACCTGCGATGCTTCCACTTGCTTCATGTTGTTAAAATACTTGATTTTTTTTGCAGGGGACTTGAGCAATGAGAGAGAGAGAGATAACTCCAATGTGAGCTACTGTGGGATGGAGAAAAAGTTATTTTAGGCACCACCGTAACCAGACACCCCTGGTTTCTGATTCGATTCTCCTGTAAACAACCAACCAATGGTGTCGCATGGTTTCCACTTGGTGCAGGATTTCGTCCATCCACAGTATGGTGCGATAGGTAATGAATTTCAGAGACCGCGTGTTGGTTGAATGAACCCGGTTTTACGGATTCCGGAACAAAGGAAACCACAGGATGGATTGTTTATCTCGAGGGTCATTCCAACTCATTCCCTGTTGAGAACCAGCAAGCAAGTTTGATTAGAAACAGATGGGTTCCACTTGTTTAGACACTGTTTTTATGAACCATGTACCACGGAAACCACCTATGACCTATGTTTCCAACACGACACCTATGCAAGTGATTGGTGTCCTTTTTTGGCTTGGGACTCAGCAGCACATGTGCCAGCTCCTGAAACCAAAACAACATCAGCATACCCTGCCAGCTCCCATTTTGCCACCATTTGAGACCACCTGCCTCTCTTCCGTCGTAAGGAGCGTTGAGCTGTCTGAGGAAGCTAATCGTAGCAGTACCATATGTGAGTTCTTCAGTTTAGCCGCGAGAGAGAGGGTCGTAGTAGACCTATTTGTTCAATCATCGCCAGTAGTTTGGCACGAAACGAGGATCGATGCGGCCTGCAAGCAGTACACTGAGGCGGGGTGTGCCTTTGTGCATGTCTTTGAATGATAGATGCATGATTTGCGGATTGGGGTTGCACCCCTTTCCTTTCTCTGCACGGTCTGTTGCGCAAACTGCGGTGCATGAATCACGATAGGACGGCAGCGAGAAGGCGTTTGTGAGTAAGTGCTTGGCCATTCAGCCATGAGCAAAGCCTCAAGTATTCAGGTCCATTGACAATCCCGGGATAGACATGAATCTTATGATTATACTATGCTTGTGCCCCCTACTTCAAATACATGTGTTTTCAGGGTATACGGTAAACAACGTTTTTGCTTTCCACATCATACACGTTCCTCTTCCTTGCAATCAAGATGATTCAAGAGATGCACGGAGAAGCTGAACTGCCAAACCAAGTTGGTCTGGGTGCATGCCACTTTTTGCGAAGGTTGCCACTGGTGGCAGCATCCTCTACTTTGTCATTGCGGACTTGGCGAACATCAACCCGATGCCTCTCAGATCAACAGTAATTGAGCTAGTGCGATGTGGGCCGATTTGCACGCAGTTGGGCTGGATGTTGCATGTGTCAGCACACTTTGCGCCTCAAATGGCCTCCAAGGCTCCCTTGTGACCAGATGGCCTCAAGATCGGGGAGTCCGTGGGAACTGGAAACCCGTCCAATGTACAAGGTGCTCACGTAGACTTGATAGATGGCTGGCGATGCGGTTGAACTTCAAGCGTAGGTGCAGTCCCCACCCGGATGTCAAGGGCCCAGGGACTGAAACCAACTCCAGCCAAACTCGAAAGAGAAGAACGGGCGCAATGACTTAGTTTCCTATATGGGACAATAAAACGCACACGGATAGGTTTCATTGACCCTGAATTATGACTTGCAAGGATGACATGAATGTTCCATCACCAACGGTGACCTTTCTCACCGCAGTTTCTTCACTATTTAAACAGTTGAGCACTCAAACAATAGATAATGTTGCGCTTCGGAGTTACATGGTTGCTACAGTATTGGGAGTTAATATGTGTATATTGTGTATGTCCCAATGTATATATATATATATGTATATAGCCGCATTTTACGTAAGAACTAGCCTCGGGCCGGTGAATGTTGGACTCAAACGAGTTTGGAACGGGCCAGCTCTCAACAGCTGCCGCTTAAAGCTCTGCATAACCAAGCAGGTTTGTCCTTAGCTGGTTCTCTCACATGTTTGGTCCGCTGCTCATTTGATGGCTCCTTCACTCAAATCATTTAACGTCCGGCGTTCGGAAGCGCACTCCTAGAGCTTAGCTCTATGGAATCTGCAAGTAACGCGTGAATACGACCCGACTAGCACCCATGTTTGGTTTGTCAAGGATTTCTGCAGGGCCTACCGAGGTTGGCTCTGAAAGATCTGGCGCAAGTCCTGTTTCTGGACGCTCACTTGCCCGCGCCGAGGTATCAGTTCAGCCTTTTCTACTTTGTGCGGCTCTTCAAGAACTGCATGGACAAAGCTGCGAGAAGCCAGGACCCCAATGCGCGGCGGATACCTATTTGATATCGGCTTGTTGCTTTCTACCCTGCGCTACCCACAAGCAGGCAGTGTATTGGAAGTTTGAGATTCACAATTTGCATGTGTTTGACAATAGCAGTAGCACAAGAGACAACCAATGTAACCCAGCAGAAACCCCGCATAATGGAGCTTATGGTGGGGATCCTACCCTTGAGATTCGCATGCCGTCCTCCTTTGCTCAGACGGCTTTGCACCGCTCCACTTTTTTGGGATAGATTTGATCAGATCCAGTTTGGCTGTACGTCTATAGCCAAATCTTTGTCACAGTGCCATGCCTTTTCCCGCGTATCATCTTTTCCGCAAGGCGCATGTCTCCAAAAACCAAGTAAGGCAATATGGCAAGTGCTTTCAATTGTTTCATGGGGAGCGAAGTGGGCTTAGAAAAGAAGGTTCCTTTTGATACCAATTCCTTTGTCCCCGGCTTCAATTAGACTCAATCCTTCTTCGATCCTAAGGCGATGACATCGACATCCGCATGACCAACCTGAGCAACCAGATCCTCTTTGGCATCTTCCAAAACGTTTGCCGAGGCTAGCGGTTCCGCCTGTGGTTTTCGGGATTCGAGAGTGCGAGGGCCAGTGCCAAACAGAGTATCTTGGACCTTGCTCGCAGTTAGTCCCTGAAGATTGACCTGGAAGAAGTTGGCTTGTTTTCGGGGTCCATGCGAATTTGCAGGGAGCACCCTCACTTGAGGAACCTGCGGGATGGTTCATGGGATTCACTTTTGGGCACCGGGCCCAGCTGTGTTTTGCCACCCGGATCACGCTTTTGGGACGCACGGGGCTGCATCTTTTGATGAGGGTACCCTTTGCGGGGTCACATTCACGGGAAATTCAACAAAACCACATTTTTTCCTCTTGCAGGTTCCAGATCTTATTTGGACTAGCTCCCATATCTCCCTGAACCCTCCCCGACCCCAACCCGCTGATCCCCCCCCAAACCCCCTCAACCCATAAATTTCTCAACCCCTCAAACCCCCCAACCCCCTCAACCCCTCGACCCCCTCAAACCCTCAGCCCCCCTGAACCCCCAGCCCAACCCAACCCAACACCCAACCCGTGCCAGGCCTCTTCGAGGACAACAAGCTCACCTGCAGCTTCCTCATCGCCACAGCGCTGCAGCGCCACAGCGGGGAGATCAGCCCCACGGAGTGGTCCCTGCTGCTCAGGCCAGGGATCCGAGCAAAAAAACGAAACCTCACCGGTCCTCTGAGCATCTGGTCCCAACCCGCAAACCCGATGTTTGATTTTGGCTTGGCCTCCATTTTTATTAACTTGGGCCACAATCAAAACCTATGGCGGTTGGCAAGTAACTCACTTCCTGAGTTCCGTTTCGGACTTTAGTCACTTCTTGTAGCGGTCTATTTGGCCCATCCACTCGGGAGGTTGGAAAAAGGTCCATCCCCAGCGGAACCGTGACCTACAGCAGCTGGACAAAAACACGAATCGAACATGTTCCAGGGGTCTGGACTTGTGTTTTGAACTATGTGACATCTGAGCAGTTTAAAAGACGTGTTCCCCACTGGGCTACTGATCTTTTTCCCTGCCCTTTTCTTGCTGCTTCGATAGGCACGGAATGAGTTGGAATGACTCCTGGAATCGTCTTTTTTGGACCGAAGACGGGGGTGCCTTTTTTTAGGCTGGACCCCTCCCAAGTGGAATTCGGTTGCCCTTTGGGTTGCCCTGCACCCTCTCCCCCCCCCAAAAAAAAAAACGGCTGCCCTCAAAAAATGAGCCACCCACACGCAGCTTGTTTCAATAATCAACCCCCAGTATATTAATAAGGTGTCCCTGGGTGAAACGTGGAGAATCACCGCTGGCAGGGAACACCCCCCCTATGCAGGAGGTTATTGATTCGGGGTCGACAATACCCCCTACCCCTACTGGGAATTAGGAGAATTCTGAGGGTTGGTATTCTGGGCCGATGACCCTATGAGTCTTGACCATGGCACAATTGGATCAGTGGCCGACAAAAGACAGGCGGACCATGTGGGTGCGTATTGAGAGGGTTGACTGCACCCAGCTGTGTGCGCAAGGATTACGTAGAGTGTCACATGGGGTTTCTCGAAATGGTAGTCCCAAAAATATAGTATCTGAAGGAAATGCACAAGGACACCAACCATTTCAGGAATCGAGCCGATTCCTATTTTGAGAGTAGTGGGAATATGTTTCTTTGACTCAAGCCCCTGCTTGAATGCGCGCCCTGTTGATGGAGCCCACATCACAATTGAAGACCCCGGCGTGAGATGTACATGTGGATTTCCTGGAACCAATTTGGCAGCAACGCACAGACAGCTTACAGGAGTTCTTGGACTTTCTACGTGGGAAGACCATTTTGGTGGTAAACAATCAGTTCAGACTTCTTTCGGCCCATACACTCAGGAAGTGAGACAATATTACCAGGGTAACGTTGTTTTGCTTTGTTTTGTGGTTTCTGAATCATGTTTTGCAGATTGAGGGTATCGGTATACGTGCTTCAGTATTGAACTGCTGTGATAGCTTTGTCAGGCATTCACATGTGTGCAACCGCACTTAGAATATCTTCCAATCATCAAGGGCTCGTTCTACATCGGCTGTTGAGCGAAGACGGTGTTGTCTTCTTTAGGCGCCATTAGAGCAACTTCACCTGGTGAAGAGACTTTGTCTTCTGGATTTGCTGTTCACCTTTCCTGATGATCATAATATATCAAACTCGAGCAAGGAAAGCTAAACATTCGGTTTTGAGGATCGTACAAAGGGTGCCGATCAATCCCGGCTTTGAGCATTGTGCACAGTGCCACCTGCGTAGCTCGCAAACATGATCTGTTGCGGCTTCACATTGGTGTGTTGTGGCAGATGGCTTGCACTTTGCTTAGAGGTGATTTGCAGGCTGTGTTTGTTGTGTGGTCAAGTTTGTCCTAGGCTGTCACAAACACTTCTCTGCGTACCATTGGCTTTCCATCGGCCTTTCGTCTCACCATTCTGGTTGTCCTTCAAGGATGGAATAATTTCAGACACACGTTGATCGTTTGTTTTTGGGTAATTTAGCGAATATGATAATCCCAGTTAATCCCAGGTACCCCTTAGTTGGTGGTTTGGACTGCTGGTCGGGGGATTTGAACCCTGGTCCTTGCAGAGAATGAACGGGAAACCACTCCCTGAACCGCCAAAACACCAATCCAAACCGCCAACTAGGGGGAAGCTGAAAATATTTGGCTTAACGAACACCAATCAAGGGACGGGCTTCTGGTCACCTCTAAATCATGCCCGTCCATCCCCGACCCCATCAAAATAGTGGTCTTTAGGATTGGGACACAACAATAAAGCTTAACCTGGTCCTCACAAGGATCCCTACTCTTCGCTCGCCCAGCTCTTACCGACTCTGCGTGGTGCCTTTTTTTGCAGGTAGACCATGGCTTCAAGGTAAGTTGGGAAAGGGTGGATTGTAGAGGATACGCAACATTAGCTGCATTCATCCGAGTTCAGCGCACATTTGTTTGCATGTACACATAATCACAGTGATTGTGTTACCAGCTTTGGAGCCAAGGAAATTTATGGTTTTCCGCCAATTCGGCAGTCCTTTAATCTTCGGGCATCTGTTTCGCCTCCCATTGGCTGAGCAACCCACTCGCGAGCGGCGCAGCGAGGGGCGTCGGGCTTTTGGACATGAGCGGCAAGCCCCCGAACCCGGACCACGACTTCTTCACCGACAAGATGTGGGACTTCGCAGCTTGGACGGTTTCGCTCAAGTGGGGTGTATCTTGTCTTTGGAGTTGGGTCTCTTTTTTGGGGGGAGTGGTTTTAAAGGGAAACCACACGGAACGCCAATGCGCCATGATTTTTTTGGGGGAGGGGGCCGCCTAATGAAAGACACACCCAACTGGCCAGAAGTTGTCTTTTTGTTTTTGTTTTGCGTCTTTCAAAGTTGGCTTGAATCCATCCAAGGGTTTGTATTTGGGTTGTCACCCTATGGCAGTCAACATGTTGAGCTGAGCCGCCATTGCAACATTTTCAGTGGTCAATGTGTGAACATGAGTGAACCAGGAACCATAGCCTCCAGTCGGTATTCCGGTTCCTCATGATTTGTCCCCCTCCCCAACCCAAGCATCTCCGCCAAAACACACCTTCAATGTTGTCCGAAAATGAGGGAGTTATGACTTACCAACTCATGACCGCTGCCTTTCATGCCCATCAGAGCTGCAACTTGACGACTGGCGGCTGGTTTCTGCAGGCTTGGAGGTCGGAGGCGCAGAATTGTCAAGCTCGGAGCGAGGGGATTGTTGTTGTTTGTGCTGGAGGTCAAAACACGTGCAGATGGAATCGCCATGTTATTTGTCGGATTATTGTGTTGTGCTGAAACAAGCCGTAGATGTTCTCATAAGCCGCTGTTGATATTCCAAAAGCACTTGCTGTTTTCAGAATGCTGGCTTGCATTCTTCGTGCTGTTGACATTTGTCCGATCAAATGTCGTGGATAGCACCAAGGATCTCCAACATATGTTTTTCCCGGATGTCAATGGTGGGTGCCTGTTTGTTTTTGGAGCGGCGGACTGCGAAATTTTGTCACAATTCTCTGTTAGTACTGTTAGTTGGATCTGTTGTATCCGTGCTGCTGACATCCCATGGGCCCCTCAGGAACACAAGCGGACCTCTTGACCGAAGAGGCCGTTTGTTTGCGTTTTTGCTCCGAAGTGGGGGCCCGGCCCCGCCTTCCTTCACCCATGGGGTCAGCGGGGTCGGGTTAAACTAAGGTCTATGCCATCCAGCAGTACTCGCAGGACCGGTGTCCGGATCTGTGCCAACACATGACCGAGAACCTGGATGAGTGGAAAGCATGGGCCGCGGGCCGAGAAGATGGCCCAGAGAGGGGTGTGGGATGCCTTCTGAGTCAATGGAGGGGCAAAGTGGAAGGTGGTAACGTTTTGAAGGCAAAGTGTTTGAGTCCTTCATGGTGTTCTACCAATGCCATGTGCCGACTCATGTGGCAGGGGCCTTGGAATGCATGCACTTCCCGGTGCACTTCCCGGTTGAAGATGACTGACATGCTTGACATGTTCATAGTGGCCGTGATTGCCCAGCATCTAGACTATCCAACTACAGTCGGGATTAGCTCAAGTAAGGTTCGGTCAAAGCTTCCCTTGATGGTCAGTTTGGGAGAGGGATGGGGACGTTCTGCTTGAATATCCCACACTGACCATGGATACCCTCCATTCGTCCCTTACTGGCAATAGCGCATGTTGACAAGGGCTTCTAGCACGGGGACTGCACTTCTCTCAACTTTAAAAATCAAAGGTTACCAGTTGGTTTGCTGCGGTCTACGTCACCATTCCTCTTTCAGAGACTGCATATGCGCAAGTAAAACTCTTTCTTTGTTTTGGCTGCTTGCTCCTTGAGCAGAAAATGATGATGTGTTGCTTTGCAATACCAAATTGGTGTGCCCAATTTGGAGATACATGTTTCATTGGATACCTGTGTGCACCAAGTTTGAGATAACATATGTTGTCTTGTCATGTGCTATGCATTGTTGGTGCCTTTGCACACGTTGTCCTTCCAAGGTTGCGCAAGATCTACCGCACCTTCAACCCCTGCCCCAGAGCTACGAGGAGCGTGATCCGAAACATGGGCCCTGATGGTGGAAGGGGGGTGTTTAAATGGTCGAGGGTGCTAGTTTGGTCTTTGTTCTCTAGAGGAAACGAAAGGGAACCCACCAATTTGTTGGGTTACCCTCCTGTCCATTGACATGGAACCTGACAGAGGTTTCTGAAGACCATCTTAGTTAGTGGGCAGAAGAGTACCCCATTTTTAGGCAAACCCAAATTCGGCTCAAAGGCCAAACATTTTTTGTGAGCCGCCTTTGGCTCTGCGTCAGATAGAGCCATGGCAACCTATGGACCAGCGACCCATTGAGGACAAAACCACTTGGAAACCATGGTTGAAACCATTGTTTGTTGGCTTTTCATAGGGGAATCATCATCAACTCGGGTTTCTTAGGT